AGTAGTAATAATAATAATAATAATAATAATAATAATAATAGTAGTAACAACAACAACAACAACAATAATAATAATAAAGAAAAAGAAGGAGAAGAAGAAAAAGATGATGAGAACTTTGAGATGGAATATTAATGTAAGGAATAAACAATGATAATAACAAATGTCAAGGTTAAAGGTTCCACTAATGGTATGTCAAACAAGTATAGTATAAACTTTTATTACTCAATTGGAAACCACAAACAAAGGAGGTTCAATCTGATTATAGATTGTTGATATGATTGCATTAGTCATCTTATTCGATTAATGCTAATACTTGTAAATCTCGTCAAGTATTCATGATTATAACTTATGTTAACAACAAATCAAGTTCCTTTCATAGCTCAGGTGTTGGTTATACCATACAGTATGGGCTATGAAAGTGACAAGCATTTGTTGTACTAAGTATTATACAACATAAATGAAGATTAGTCATTTAACAAGCAAGGTATTAAAGAGTGAACAAGATAACAAATACAAAACATGTTAGTATCAAACATTAAAGTCCATATTAAGTTTACACTATACTTATTCTTACACCGTTAGTGTAACCTTTTCACCTTAACAAAATAAACATAGCTAGACATAATGAAAGAAAGAAAAATAAATAAACAAAATTAGAACATAAATAAGATAAAAGTTAACTAAGTAAATGAAAGGAAATGAAAGACATAAACTTGATATTAATAAAAGCAAAGCATAAACATTACAAAAAATACAAAGAGAGAAAGCAAGAGCATGATCTTGATTTGGAAACCAAGATGCCTAAATGCATGGCAAATGCCTCCTTTTATAGGCCAAAATTGGAAACTATTGATTTGATGACTAATTGATGAGTAGGTGGCCAACTCTTGACTTGTTGACAATCCTTATCTTTTCTTGTTCGCCCAAAATGTCATTAATAACGACAAAATTGAGCCACTTGAAACATGAAAGTTGTAGGACATTGTCTCAGTTTTCTTGTGTAAAAAAATTAGGTGATTTGTACATTTGTATTAAATTCACACTTGCTCGTAAATCCAACAAAGCTTGATCTATCTTATGACTTCCAATAATACATGAAATGGTAGGACAACCAGGATCTTTGTATTTGAGAGGGGTTTTAAACTGGATGATGGCACTAGCATGTTTAGTTAGAAAGACTCTTTCTTTCACATTCAATCTCCTTTTGACTATGCATAAATCCTTAAGAAACTTTGCATAAGATGGAACTCGTTTAATTGCATCAAGGAGTGGAATATTGACTTTCACTTGTTTGAACAATTCATAGATTTCCGAGTTCATAAAATCATGTTTAGGATTCCCTAACCTTTGTGGAAATGGTGCTCTAAGAACAAATTCTAAATCACTCACTTTGACTCCAATTTTTTTTGAATCATCTCCTTTCTCACTCATCTCTTTCTCATTTATCTCACCTTCTTTGGCACTCAAACTCTCATTTGTCGCTTGTGTTTTGATTACCTCTTCACTTTCCTTAGATTTCTCCTCCACAATACCTCTAGGAATCCCAAAACCTATGGCTTTGTCAATAATCTTTCCACTTCTAAGGGTGGTGATAGCTTGGACTTGTTCATGGTTTAAAGGTTCACTAGGTGAGGATTCACTCATGTGTACCTGACCTCTGGGATTTGGCATTGGTTGAGCTGAGATCTTTCCCTTCTCTTGAATGCTTAGTGATTGAGTCAACTTAGTTAGTTGACTTCGAATGTCATCTAAGGTCCTATTTGGCTAGTCTTGAAATTTATAAGCTTGGTTGTTGATTCCTCCTTGCGTTTGCATGAATTATTGAAGAGTATCCTATAAGGATCTCTTATGAGGTGGTTGGTATGTGTTATGTGTGGGAGCATGAAATGGTTGGGGTGGAGGTTGAAATTTTTTCAATTTTTTTAGGCGGTAAAACCAGCCAATTGATTTTTTTTATATGATTTTTTTTTGGGTTTTCCAATAATCAAATCTAAATTTGTTACCTTTGCTTGCTAGCTCCCTGGCAACGGTGCCAAAATTGCTTGACCACTTTTTATGATCAGCTTGTTTTAACTTGCAAGTGCACGAGTGAGTGATGTAGCAATTAACTCGGTAAGATCAAGGTCATATCCACAAAGAGCTAGATCTGGAAAATAAGCTAGGTAACAAAAAAAAAATCAAGAGAAATTAAATTAACAATAACTTGGTTGAGAATAATTGATGGATTTGTTTTCAAAGATGAAAACATGTAAATAGATTTTAAATGACAAGAAAAAGTAAGTCTTTGTCCAAATCAATTTTAATGGTGATGTATTAGTGATTCCTTTAAGATATATAAAATAACTCAACCTAATATCAATGATTGATATTAGATTGGAAGAAATTACAATGAAGTTTAAAAAGATGAAGATCGATTATTGCTTAAAAATGAACAAGTACTTTCATATTAAGTAAGACATTGAATCAAGCAATTTCTATACCAAAACTAAAGGTTGTGCATAAAAATTCAAGATTATAACATTACCTAAATGATTTCTAAATTTTTTTTGCAATAATAAACCATTCATAAAGAAAATGAGAAGATAAACATTAAGATTCATTCATATCTTAAAGAACTCACCTCAGCCACCATCATCCTTGATTTGGATCCAAGAAAGAGATTAGCCAACCATGATTATGTATAAAAACACTTTAATAAACATGAAATAACTTGAATCAAACTAAAACACTAAGTTTTACAAGCTAAAAAACTAAAATCTACAAAGAAGAACACAACATAATTTCAGTAAAAATTCAGACACAAATATGATGCTAACTTTGAACAGCAATTTAAACCCTCCTACAAGCCTTTTCTCGGGATGTCTATTGGAGAAATATTTATAGAAAATTTTTTCATGTTTCCATATCATTAAAGAACAGCTCATTTGGACAGCTAAGTCAAAAGTTATAGGCAAAATACCGAAAGGTGTTTTGAAAAATCAAATCAAGCCAGCTTTGCAACCACTTTCGTGCACGTTTTTCTTCCTCATTTATGAGCTGTCTCTTTCTTTTTTACCCAAAATAATGTAACAATGTCCCCTCCAGCTTTCCATCCATGTGCTTGCCTTCTTGGATCAATAGATTACCCAAAATAAATCAATTGTTATTTGTTGTATGGACATGTAAGATCATGGATTATGCTTGGGCTAATTTGAAGGTTGATTTGGGACTGATTTGGGGCTAAATTTAAGCATCAAATAAGGATACAAATGTACCTATTATTTGGGCTAAGATTGACATTGAAACCTTGAGTGTTTAATGGTTGAAGTTTGCACACAACATAAGGCAAGTTTGGGCTTGAAATAGATCATATGATATTCTTTTCTAGAATTGGAATAGAATTGATTTTTGGGAAAAATTTAGAGCACTTATTTGAACCAAGATTTGCTTCAATCTTCAACTAAATGTCTCTTCAATTCTTTGTTCTGAATTCCGACGTTGAATTTTCTGAATTAATTCATTTAAGCTCCAAAAACCTATCGAAACATTAAAAGAAACTTCATTACTAAAAAGCACATCAATTATTATAAAAAAACCAAATAAAAAAATAAATACATATGTAAAATAAGAGACTTAATGACACTTTTGATGCACAACCACCTCTCCCCCCAACCAAAACGAGACATTGTCCTAACATAAAAAGATAGAGTATAAAAGACATCACTTGAAATGACGAATACTAATAAACCTGAAACACACTTAAACAAATATAAGAAATAACAAAACACAATAATAAAATCAAAAGACATAAAGGTTCACAAATGAAGATTCAAATCCAATCTAAGTTTTTTATGGCTTTCCTTAGATGACCAATTTATGTGACTCATGAAAGGATCAATTATAGGAATGAAAGATATAATTGTTCAATCAATTATTCAATAGTAGCAGAGATTATGATTTGTCATGCCGAAGATGTTAGAAATTCCTGTTCAACAGCATGATTAAAAAACGACAACAACTTATCATAATAACCATTAACATTTAACAAACCTATAGGTTTATAGTGAATGTACAGTTGAGCTTAATAGGAGATATGAAAGATCTATTCCAATGTGCTTAGGCCACCTAGTAAGGCAATGAGGGCATCAACATGGTTAAACATTGCATTCATTCGAGCAAATATTGTGGAGACTTGTAGTTCCTCTCCAATTGTTTTTTCAATGATGTCCCCTTATG